GCCTGAAAAGCCAGACATGAATAGGACAGGTGAGAAAAGCAAGGGCACCTTAGACACATACTATAATTATTACTTTTGTATCATTCAGAACAAAAAGAGACTAGAATACGAAAAATTAACAGAGGATAGTTTTAGAGGACATGATAACACTTTGGAATTTGGAAAAAGGTTGTGAACGATAAAACCTGCTATTGAAACTGTTCACTATTTATATTTGGCTTCGACTTAATAAATCCAAAGGAAAATTGATACGGAAAAATGATTTCTTTCCTTCTATTTCTCTAGTTCCAAACGGACCTTAAATAGATAGAGTTGGCTAAAACTGAACCTACCTTCTTCTTAGCTGCTTGAAACAGTGATCTAACACGTCGGGCACCAACCCCCACAAACCTGCAGTAGAGAAAAGCAAAGTTGTTGTATGACATTACACTTCAGCGAACTTGGTGCTTAGGATATGTTTGGATCGCGTAAAATGCTATGGAAATTTTTAAAAATGCCAAGTTTTATTCTTACAGATTTGGTTTTGCATGTTTAGATCCTGAAAATGACAAATAAGGTTATTGTCTAATGTTGGTTTTACTTTGAAGAAATGCAAAGTAAAACAAAATGTAATAATTTTTTTTAACACTTTGCATGAGTTCAGATTTTTTAATCTTTATATAATAAGAACAACTACATAAAATGTGTTTGAACAAATATCTAAAATCAATTATTGAGTTTGTGTATATATTTTATTTCCCCCAAAATTTCGTTCCTTCAATACTCTCCTGTATTTTCTTCCATTTTTGTTCCCTGATAATATCCAAACAAACCATTGAGAATGAGGTTAATACAGTAAATACTGCATCTATTCCTAAAACTCCCAAGGGAGAGAAGTTATAATACATCTCTTCAAACTCAGAGCCTGCTTTGTAGAAGAAAGGAACCCCTGCTTCTCCCGCAATAGCCTGCAAAGCAAGATGCATCAAAGACTAATAAGCAGATGCATACAATTTACTACTATGTCCATCAAAAACTCACAAAGCAGATCATACAAGATACATCTAATCCTAATAAGCAGATGCATGCAATGTACCTTATGTACTACGGAGTACAACTTATATCAATAAGTTATATCAATAAGTTGTGAAAATTTACTCCAACAAAACTCCTACAGACTACAGTAACCACGGAAGTCCACAATTAAATGCCACATTGATCTATAAGAATAATATGAAGTAAAAACCAACTTAATCTACCAATGTATCAAATTTCAGATATGAACCTCAATTGAGTCCCAAATAGTTCACACGTAAAACAGAAAACTTACTTTTGCCAGTAAAGTCTTTCCTGTTCCCGGAGATCCAGTCAATAAAATACCCTGAAAAGACAAAAACGCATCATGGTCTTATTAATTTAACAATTTTCTTCAAAAAAAGCAAATTTTAACAATCTTCATAGCTAACATAAGAATGTGCAAAAGATTTATGACTAAAAATAAGAACCTTGGGCAATTTGCCCCCAAGCCTGGTGAACTTGGTGGGATTCTTAAGATATTCGACAACCTCCTCAAGCTCTTCTTTGGCATCATCGCAACCTTTGACATCTTTGAATGTTTTGACATTCTGTATCACAAAACAAAGAAAAATGAAATTTATTCTTCTAATTGGTAAATCTCTCAAAGTGACATAACCAAGAAAACCTGATACCTTTTCGGGCACTACTTCCTTATTCAACTCTTTTGGAGAATAAGATGAGCTTGAACCAACACTTGAAGCACCCACACCGCCTAAGCCACCAATATACTTTTGAGCTGCTGAAGCCGTCACATACCTATTAATAAGGAAGGAACAGTTGATGATAATTCCGTGTAAGGATCTTACACATCTATGCAAATTGTATGTAGTAAAGATTGAAGAGAATGGTTACCATAACAAACCAACAGCAATAGCAAATATAACGGTGGAGATAAGCTCATGAATGAGGCGTGGCGATTTTTTTGACTCATTAGGATCAACCTGATCACAAAACAGACATTAAAATGGACTCCAATATGTTCAACAGAACCTTTTGAAATAAAGAATAATGGGTTAAAAATCTAAAACTATAATACATCAGTTGCTCCAATACTTTATATGATTGTAATATAAATTTATCTTTATCAGACTTCAAAAAACATATTTTAATTAAGACACTAAATCTTACCATGACCACATGCAACGGCTGCCTTTCCGAAACACCCGGGTTTAAAATGGGGTCATCCAGCTTCCCTAAAGCGCGTTGTTTCAACTCTTGTAACTGCATGTAGCATGTTAATTTTTAACTCAATAAAAAGAGAAAGCGAAATGCGGTTCTGGAGTCTTAACACCAAAAATTTCTTAGACAACTACCCATAAATTAATGATGAAATTTTTAAGAGTACTCCCGCTGTCATTAAATTACAATTACATTTTTTCCAATATAAGAGTCAATCTTTAAAATGAAATTTTCTTTTTGTAACTATGTAAGTAACTTCTTGTAAAGCCAAGTGGGTTGCTGTTTTAGTCAATTACTCCAAACAACCTATGAAATAAGCTTTATGGCTACAAGTCACCATGCGTAATTTGTAAGAACACTTGTGCTTTAAATGAGTTGACTAAAAGTAAACTATTGTACCTTACACAAAGTCACAAACAAGACTCTTTATTCAGTCGGAGGAAATATTTCTCACCATATGGAATCCATAAAAAAGAGGTGAGAAACAGAACTTTTCACCAACTGAAGAAAATCAAGAGTTATACAGCAATGCTAGGGAGACTATGAAAGCATAAACGTAAATACAAAATTTTAAACAGGTACCCACCAATAATGGCAGAGTGGAAGGCTTTCCGGAACCCTCGTCAGGAAGATACTCAGCAATAGCATTAGTGGCAACAAGAGCTCGGAGATATTCTGCAACTCCTCTACTGTCTACCGCATAGGTCCTATCCTCAAACCGTTTGATGACTAACTCCGGGCTATGCAAATAAGGAACACGTTAAAATGCTCTAAATAAATCATCTCAAAGAATTATGTTTGGAACCCCCATCAAAACCTTGGTATCTTTTTTTAGAGAGAAAACCTTGGTATCTTATTTGACAATCAATCCATTTTTTCTTGATTTGGCTGAATAAACCAATCACCTATTCCCCCTCCCGACCCAACACCATTTCCTAGCACAGCAACAAGGAATTTTGTTTATAAGGTGGCTTTTTACTGTACTGACAGACTAGATAACTAAAGTTTATGAAATGAATTAGGATAAGAAGAGCTTAAACAAAGCCTAACCTGTTCTTATTAAGCTCAACCAGCAAATCGCTTTGCTTTTTAGCATCTTGAGGGAATGAGTTAGCCTCTGCAGTCAAATATTTCAGCCTCTTTTCACGCTGCCACATCAACCCCCAACCTAACAGCTCGGGCGGAAACAGCAGCCTTTTCTTGATCTCCCCCAAGAACCACATCCCGAAGGGAAGGTTCTCCTCGTTCTCCAATATCAAACCCTCTGATGCGACATCTCCTTGCACTTCCTCCGGCTCAGCTCTATCTTCAACTGTGGTGGATTCTGTAGCCTCCTGGTTTTCGGATGAACAGTCAGGAGAAGAATTCAAGTTCTCCGGGCGCAATGTGCAAGTCAATCTGAGGTGGCCGGAAAATAGATGTTTTCCGGAAGCTCCTCGGAGGGGGCGCCTAGAAGAGGAAGGGAAAGAAGACGAGAAAGCTAGCGGCTTGAATAAACACGAAGTTTGCAGCGCCGCCGCAGTCATTGGGCTCTGATGGGGTAAAGTTCCGGATTTGATCCAACTGAAACTGATGGGAGGGAGGGTTTAGCGACAGACTGGTTCTTGGTTCAATCGGAGGAAAGATACGATCTTTGTTTTGTGGAAGGGAAAAGTGAGAGCGATTCTTTGCTCGCAGTTCCTTCTCAATAGAAAGCGGGGAAGGAAGCGTGCGAGTTGGCCAGAACTCAGAAGATTGGGTTTTCGGGCTTTGATGGATACGTTTGACACAAAACACTGTCACCTTATCTTCAGCAAGAGAAATTAGACTGTGATTTGGCGCTTTTCCATATCCATATATGAGAGCATAAACTGCAAAATGGGTCCTCAATCTTCAATTCCTTTTTATTTTTTGATACATATGAGGGGCAAAGTTTTGAATATACTAGTATAGTACCCGTGCATCCGCACGGGTGGTAATTATTTTGTACACGTATGTGTATATATAGCTATAATTTTATAATGTAATCAATAAAATATGGAAATTAAAAGAATAAAATAAAAATATTAAAAAAAGACTTCATCAACTAATTATAGAGTTTATTTAGATAATCATTCAATGATGTAAAAAACAAATAATGCTATACATCTTAGCGTAGGCTTTTAGCCTTTTACATTAAGGGGATGCACAATAATTTATTATGAAGATTACATATCCTTAGATAACAAAATAAGAGACTTTACAAACTCGTATGCAAGGGAGTGGCTGGAGGGTGGGTGAATTGGTCTGGTTCATCCCAAATTTGATACCCCCCATATGAAGTATATGCCAAAAATCTATCTCATTTTTTAAAGTGTAAAAATCTACGGAGTATATAATTTATATAAAAATCTATCTAATTTTTTATACTGGTCCAATTTGAGTGTGGTTAGGTTACACCAAACTTCTTTCAATGAAGCTGTAGAAAACCTTTAAATTTAAAGAAGGCGTCATTGAGTTTCATTCTAACAAAAATGCATCGAAATTAAATATTCCAAGACTTTCGTACTTACATATTCAGGTGTTCTAGACTTGAGGATAAATTGGCAGGATATTTTGAGTTTGCATCCCACTTTTTGGGTGATATTGTACTTTACACCCCCATTTTCAAAACTTTTAGATTTTGCACCCTATTTCCCCTAAAATGTCTTTAACCCCATTTAGAATTTTTTCTTCACAAAATGTTGAACATAAGATGCAAAGTCTAAAAGTTTTGAAAATGGGGTGCAAGGTCCAATATCATCCAAAAAGTGGAGTGCAAACTCAAAATTCCCCTAAATTGGCACATAAAGATAAAGTGATATGTTACTTTATAAAGAAACGAAACAAAGTCAAATAAACGTGAAGGTGTTTCAGATTTATAAATCAAACTACTCATATTCTCATTTAGGCATGGACCCATTTAGGCATGGACTGGTTCTTAAGAATCATTGGAGAAGGCTCTAATTCCCCCAAACGGCTAATTAGGGAGTCAATAGTAAAAAAAAATGTAGTCATTGGGGCACGTGTCCAGCACGTATATCATTTTGGGTCCCGTGAACCGGTTGATGCTGATTCCGTTAATTTTTATAAATCGATAATGGAACAGATTTACATTAACTAATGAAATTTCTTATTACCATTATAACTCAAGTATAATACGAAATTGATTGTTTTATTCAATTCAGATGGTTTGTTCAACACACAAAATAAACTCAAAATGCCCTTTTAAACTAAAATTTCATAATTTCACATAAATAAAAGATAAAAAGAAAGCCAAAAAACTGCACATATATTTTAGGACGGTTTGTTAAGAAAAAAAATCATATTTCGTATATAGAAAAGAGTTAGAAAGAGAAATTAGATATTTTAGTTTTATAAGTCCCCCCTTTTCCTTAGTTTTCATATTCTTAAAGTTTTTCTTTTCTTGTTCTCAACCGTTAATGAGTAATATTGGAATTACATGGACATGCTCAAATAAACCTTCTTTTCATAGTTCACTTTCTTAATTGGAATTCTAGCATTTATAGAGACATAAAAAAATCCTAGCATACTTGAAGAGTTGGAGTGTTTATTCATGGTCTAATTAAATGAGTTTACAACTTGTAGGCCATTTTTCATTTGAATCCATGTGCCTATCTATGGGAGGCGATGAAAGTAGTAGAATTTGTGAGTAGATCAATCTTTACTCAAGAGTATAAAGAAAGGCCGTCAAAAAAGAGCTAGGGGCAACCTTAGTTTAGAACTCAATTCTTGAACTGGTTGGTCTTCAATCAAAACCTGAAATAAAAAACGTAGTTTAGCATTTCTGATAAAGGTCAGTATATAGTTAAAAAGGCAGAAAATAAACTTTAATTGTCAAATTCAATCCAAAAGTCTACTAAAACCAGATCCTAAAGCATAGAATCCATGTGCCCATATATGGGAGACTATGAAAGTAATAGAATCTGTGATGGTGCCTAAGATTAAACCATTTTAACGGAGCACATTAGAAAACTGTTTTAACAACCAAAATTAAAAAATGAAAGTTAAAAAACCAAAAACAGATCAACTTAAATAGGAAGGAATTTTTATCATTTTATTTTCGTCTTATATAGGTGATTTAGAAGGAAATAGAATGTGAGGGAAAATAAAATATATTTTCATACCTCAATAGTTTTTTATAATTGCAATGGAAGCCAAAAACTCACTATTTTTTGGATGGAAAATATGATGGAATAAAGCAAAATGACTCACTTCTTTGTTATGAAGCTGTAGTCAGTTCATGCAATTTTGGACGCGATTTTCCTTTGTGCTTTAGTACATGGGTAAGACTGTGTACATCCGACCCCCTCTTACCCCACCGTAGGTGGAAGCCTTTGCGGCACTGGGGTAATGATGATGATATTTTTGTCTTATATAGACTTGACCGTCTAAACCAATATTTAACAACATAAGAAAACAAACAGAATCATAACCACCTCATTTCAGTAACACACGGGAATGGAGGGTATTATAAATTGTACACATCAAAATGGTTACAACAGAAACCTAATAAAAATTACACATTCAGAATGAAAAAGTGAGAGACCTAGTTCTAAGGGAAAATAGATTATAGACGCTCGTTCGATCTCCCTTTGAAAAAGAAGAAGACACGTGGATTGATAATAGAAGCAACATGAATTCAGCCAAGCAGGACACGTTGGAATGGATGGTATAAAGGGATTTCAAACAGCCATTTCATTTCTATAATGGTATTTCAAAGCATATAAAATTTTCTTGGAAGACATTACTAATTTACTATGATCCGAAATCAAATTTTGATCGCATCAGGTCAAGCTCATTTAATTTATGCATCTAAAATTATATTAAAAATCAATAAATATTTGTCAACATTGCAGAAGCATTGTCCCTGCAAATAGAGTGAGAAAGAAAACTGATTTCAAATTGATGATTTTTTTGAAGAAATCAATGCAAATCAATGTAAACTTATTTACTATTATAATGCTATACATTATGTAATACAGAATTATTGAGAAAACGATGGTCACACCTTAGCATCCATCAAAATCATTTCAATGAACTTTGAAGAGAATGAACGGAAAAAAGTGATATAAGCATAGGCCAGTGGTTCTTTTATTTGTTATGAAAAACCAAGAAGAGAAGCCAATGTTTACTGAATAAGAAAAACACATTCTTAGTCTTTCTAAACAATACTGGCCCAATAGAAAGAAAGAACAGAATAAGAAGAAATATAGTTTTTTCTTATTGCTACCAAAGAGGGGGAAGATAGAATCAAGAAAAGTACTTTATTGATGTCTTAAAAATACTGGACGAATAGAAAGAAAGAACAGAATAAAAAGGAATGCAGATTTTTCTTCTTGCTATCAAAGAGGGGCAAGATAGAATCCAGAAAAGTACTTTAATGCACAACTAAATGTAAGGTCAAGCTAGAAATAGGTTAATAATTTTTTCAGGTCCCTACACAGTTTTCTCCAAATGTTTGTTAAATTGTTAATGACTTAATGTCTCAACCCACCTCCCATAGATTCTATATAAGCATAGGTCAGTGGTTCTTTTATCTGTTATGAAAAACCAAGAAGAGAAGCCAATGTTTACTGAATAAGAAAAACACATTCTTAGTCTTTCTAAACCATACTGACCCAATAGAAAGAAAGAACAGAATAAGAAGAAGTATAGATTTTTCTTATTGCTACCAAAGAGGGGCAAGATAGAATCAAGAAAAGTACTTTATTGATGTCTTAAAAATACTGGACGAATAGAAAGAAAGAACAGAATAAAACGAATTGCAGATTTTTCTTCTTCCTATCAAAGAGGGGCAAGATAGAATCAAGAAAAGTACTTTAATGCACAACTGAATCACTGAATGTAAGGTAAAGCTAGAAACATGTTAATTTTTATTACTTCCAGAAAGCACTTCAATGCAAAAAAGAATCAAAAGCTTTTTAGTAAGGAAATAAAGGGAAAAATCAGTTCAAACTTCAAACCAAATAGGCATTAAAAAAACTGATTCCAAACAAATTGCTTCTTTGATATGAGCACTTGTATGAAGCAACACAATCATAAACCATCTTAGTTCTTAATGCAGGGAAAGGCAACAACAAAGCATAATAAAGAACTAAAACCCTTGTTATGTTTGCCCTATCTATTCCCTTGAAAGAGAAACACTAAAGCACAGGTTATTGAAACTCTATTCTGTTTTATCTGTTATGAAAAACCAAGAAGAGAAGCCAATGTTTACTGAATAAGAAAAACACATTCTTAGTCTTTCTAAACCATACTGACCCAATAGAAAGAAAGAACAGAATAAGAAGAAGTATAGATTTTTCTTATTGCTACCAAAGAGGGGCAAGATAGAATCAAGAAAAGTACTTTATTGATGTCTTAAAAATACTGGACGAATAGAAAGAAAGAACAGAATAAAACGAATTGCAGATTTTTCTTCTTCCTATCAAAGAGGGGCAAGATAGAATCAAGAAAAGTACTTTAATGCACAACTGAATCACTGAATGTAAGGTAAAGCTAGAAACATGTTAATTTTTATTACTTCCAGAAAGCACTTCAATGCAAAAAAGAATCAAAAGCTTTTTAGTAAGGAAATAAAGGGAAAAATCAGTTCAAACTTCAAACCAAATAGGCATTAAAAAAACTGATTCCAAACAAATTGCTTCTTTGATATGAGCACTTGTATGAAGCAACACAATCATAAACCATCTTAGTTCTTAATGCAGGGAAAGGCAACAACAAAGCATAATAAAGAACTAAAACCCTTGTTATGTTTGCCCTATCTATTCCCTTGAAAGAGAAACACTAAAGCACAGGTTATTGAAACTCTATTCTGTTTTTTCATACTCCTTAGACACTTGGGAGTTGGGAACAATAAGTGTATTCATATTCATCAATATTGAAGCAACTTTCCTGATGAACTCATGTAAGCATTTCATCGTACACCTTATATGCTTGGAAATGTATACTTGCATTTATAGTAAAAAATAATTTGAAACAGAGAACCAATAATCACAAATATTGCATAAAAAATAGAGGCGCCTAAAAATACAATTTTTTAATTCAACTGAATATGTAATCATACATACGTGATTAATAATTTGCTTGTTAAGAAACATTGGGAGAAATCAATTGGGTAACCATTTGAAAATAAGAAAGGAGAAAGCTAGAGAGTACTTCTGCTAATTAATAATTTTTATACATTCATTTAAATTGTTTGTTCAACCCATAGAGATAAGTTGAATCTGTAAGAGTTCAAACAAAGTTAGAGATTACATGTAAATGAGAAAATGAAGTATTCATAATCCAAATAGTATCCAAGATCAAGTATTTCAGGCCAATTGAAATAACAAATCAATAGTATTGGTAAATTTTATGAAAAGATATATGGAGATAAAATGCATGTGAAGTGTGGATCGAACCTGCGGCTTCATTTGCGCCCGAGAGATTCAGGAGCGAGGAAGATGTGAAACTGACGAATTTGACGCTAATGAAATTGGATTTAGGAACGATGATGATGAAGAAATAAAAAATCGAAGAAAATTCTTGATGTTCTCGATAGGAAAGACACGTGGATGCATAATAAAGCAGGCGTGAAATAAGGTGAAGAAGACACGTAAGAATGGAGGGCAAAAATGATTTGGCTGTTTCAAATTCAGATGTTAGACCAGCCAAAAAACTCATCACTGCCATTTGTTCTCTTTGTTTTTGCTGCACTTTGATATCAGGACTAAATGGCATTAATGTATTCAGCTCTTCATAGGTTTTCTTGAAATCCATAAAATAAGCCGTGAGAGGCTTATCTTTCATTTCCGCTCTGTAAAAGGCTTTGCACACCTCATAGATGTCGTTAAGATTACCTTTTCCAGAGTACATAAATTCCAAATAATCAAACAATTCTTTCACAGTATCGCAATGACTAACATACCCCATTACCTCATTCTCCATTGAGTTTTGAATTTGGATAAATAATCTAGAATCGTCACGAAGCCAGGCAGTATTAGCAACTCTATCAACCTCCTCCTTTGGCGGGTCATCAACTAAGTGAGTATGTTTATCAATGCTCCTTAAATAGCGTTTGATAGTTTTACTCCATTCAAGATAATTAGAGCCACAAAGTTTATTCTCAGTAATTTTAAAATTAATGGGAATAACTTCAGAAACTATCAAAGGCTGACTTTGTGTTACAGTGGAGGTGTCAGAACCAGACATTTTTTTTTCCTGAAACTGTAATAAAATTGAAAATTGAGATATTTAATTTAATGAAAACTTACAGCAGCCCGTTTTGGGCTGGAGAACAAAAGATATGTTCGGGCTTTGACTGCTACTCCAGACAGAAGTTAGATGCCAGACCCCAGTGAATAATCAGCCACATGAATATCGCGCGTATGTCGTCGACAGATATCCACTGGCAGACCCCAGCGACCAGCGATATTTCCACAGATGTGCGACCCGAGCGACAAACCACCAGACCCCAGAGAACGGCGCGTCTGACTTGGGTGCTGATTTGGAACTGCAGACTGCGAGCACCTGGCACAGATGGGGTATATGGTCTGCACAAAGGTTCTGAATAGAGGGGGGCTAAAAAAAATCTGTCCTGGAGTGAGTTTCTGGGAGACAGAATGGTGCCTAGAGGTTCTGGAGAGTCTGAACTGAAATCAGGTTTCTTTGAGAAGGAACCCAGTCTGAAAAACTAAGCTGAAATCTAAAAGAAAAAAGGAACTAAATCTTTCCTAAGGCTCTGATACCATGTTATCAGAATTAAGCATATAATAGTAATGAGAGTGGAAGAATTTTCTGTGTATAATATAAGAGGGTTAAGACCCTATATATAGGTTACAAAGAAGGAATATTCCTACATAAGATGCTATACTATAATAATGTCTAGAGTATATTCCTAAAGCATATTCTTACTATAATAATGTCTAGAGTATATTCCTAAAGCATATTCTTATATACAATAATTCTTTCACAATAAGAAAGTGAAGGGCTCATTAAGTTACATTTAAACTCTTCTCTCCCATGTGTCCTAAGCTTTGCCTTCTCCTATACATTTCTGTTCCCTCATTCTTTCTTGTCCCATTCCAATCTAATGTGTCAAGACAAACGCAATTTCTGGATCCCATTCTTAAGAATTTTCTACACCAACATTTAGAATCAGAAAACTTCAAACACTCCCCTGTTTTAAGCCATGTAAGCTAAGGGTATTAATGCTCAGGTACCAAGCAAGTATTGAATATCAATCATTCAAAGCAACACACAAACATTCCAAGCACGTTAGGCATTTATAGAACACATTATCATCTAATCTAAAAAAAAAGTGATAGGCTGAACTATAAAACTTATATGCTTTTCTCACATAAACATTTCATCAAACACCTCATATGCTTTACCTTGTATGTTTTGGTGCATCTAAAAGTCATGTGAAAACAGAGAAATAGATACATCAACAAATACTAATTCTGAAAAAATGAATCCTGCAATAAAGTGTGTATCAAAACTAAGATGGCACGATACCTTTTACAACTCAAGACCTCTCAAATTATCTTGTCTAGAAGAATACAACAGAAGCATGGATGAACTGTTAAGAAAGCATAATTTACACCTGCAAATTGAATGAAAACGGGTAGAAAGATGATTGAATGGTTGAAAGAGGATGGAGAGCAAGTAGATGAGAAACCTGTTGTACATGGCAAGCTGTAGCGGTATATCAGCCTATCTGTTGAGCATTATTTGGAGAAGAAAACGCTTAGGATTTGCCTTCTACTTTGTCGGCTTAATTAAGACGTAGGGGAAGAGTTGAAAATCACTGGCTTTTTCTCTGCGAAAAAAAAAGAAGAGAAGAGAAGACACGTGGATTAATAGGAGAAGAGGCGTGAATTCAGCTAAGCAGGACACGTTGGAAAGAAGGGTATAATTGTATTTAACACAGCCTATTCTTTTCTTATATATAAATAGAATAGACTTCGTATGTTTAAATGTGAGGATATGACAAGTGTAAAAATATCCCAACTTTTCTATGAAGAAGAAGCAAATCAGTACAAAATTAGAACAACCTAATTAAAATAATAGTCTAATTTCTGGCATTTTAATATCCCTAACTTTTCTATGACTTCAAATAAAAATTAAAATGCCAAATAAATACATGTGTTGAGTTCGGATAATGAAAATATTTAAAATGAAAATTTTGTTTTTCTTAAAATTAGAACAACCTATATGAAAAATGTTATGAAACTGAATAAAAAGAAAGATTTGTTTCATGTTAAAAGCTTTTCGTTCTAATTTTACATTGCAAAATTATTAATTTTCTTTTCTCAAAGAAGCATTTCAAAATTATAAATGTTAATTTTAGTATCATGGCAAAATTTTGAATACATTATTCCAAGATTTTAAACACCATTTTTGGGTATTTTTTAAATTTAATAAAATAAAATTCACTATATTGCGATCGACTATTTAAAACTAGTGGGTCAATTCTCATAAATCAATTGGGCTTTCAAATTAAGTATGACGGGTCATATTGTCATTGAGCCTCTTTAATTGATACCCAGACTCATTTGATCCAATTTGGCTATTCATGATGACTTTTGGGCCTTATCAAAAAGAAAATGGTGATATGAATCTTTTGAGAGAGAGAAATATAGCTGTGAAAGCTTTTCACTTCTAGTTATTGCATCTTTGTAAAAATATTAAATTAAATATCATAAAAACGTTATAAACATTGATCTCATCTTTAATTACAAGCTCTATAATTTAATGTCCGTCCAACACATTGTTTAGTGCAACTCTACAAGGGGAGATTATATTCACAAACCTCATGTTTCTAGATAATGCATGTTGGGGTATGTTACCCCGGCCTACTACTGTTTAGAGGCCCAATACACCGCCCCGGTATAGGACCCAGTCAGCGAAGCTCAATTAGGCCATCCCGGCCCATTTCGGCCCACTTGGGCCTACATCGGCCCATTTGCGGCCCATCAGGTTAGAGGGTTTTTCCTCCCCTTCTATAAATAGGAAGCAAGCCTCCTGATTAAAGGATCTGATTTTGGCTCTCCTCCCCCCATAGCTTCATTCACTGTATTTCTTCTTTAGAGATTAGGAAGCTTCTTCAAGCTCCATTAATGGAAGCTCCAAGTGTTGTACTATGTAAATGGTGAGGAGAGAATATCAATGAGAAAGAGCGGGCTTGGACGTTAGCCTAAAAAGTCCCGTGGTTTTCTCCCTTTCCGGGTTTCCACGTAAAAATAGCTAGTTCATACACTTTTATATATTTTATTTATGTTTATACCGAATTCATCATCCCTAATATCCGAAGTTTATGTTGGGCTTTCGGATCTACGGGACAAAACCCCAACAATGCCCCCAAATAAATTTAGTATAAATATCTAATTTTCCAAATACAACTTGCAGTGCTCTTCAAATAACATTAAGAGCATCTACATTCATGATTTTAAAATAAGTGGTTTTTCTATTACACATCATTACCACATCACATTTATTCAATAAATTTTAAATGATCTCAAATCTTAAAACTTTTTATCAACTGTGATACTCAAATAATTAGCTTTTTAGTCCATGCATTAAATGCAATTTAACTACAACCTAAAATAATTCGCGATTCAAATCTTGATACCAGATTTTCTTTTTCAATAATCTCTATAAATAACTTGTCACTCACAATGATAATGTTTAAAATAATCTTACATATCATTCAATTGAAACTTAAATAATCTAAGGGATGAGGCCGGATGCCCTAGGCACTCTATGCATACTCTACATAGTGTGTCGCGCGCATACCCACCACGAGAAGAGAATTGGATCACACAGTGGATTAGGGTTAGGGGTGGGCAAAGTGGTTCGGTTTGTCCGAACCGAACCGAACCGAACCGAAAAAATGGAGTTTGGTTTGGTTTGGTTTGGCTCAGCCAAACCATTTGGTACTAATATTTGTAAACCGAATGGTCCGGTTCGGTTCGGTTAAAAAACCGAAAAACCATAGTAACCGATCGGTTTACCGCTATAACAAATAAACACATATATTCCCAAATTATAATGCTTCGCGTAAACCCTCGTCAGAATTCACAATGTCTAAACTCAAATACCTATCGAAATACCCTCCCTCACAAACCCTATCCTTATGCCACCTTCATCTCCTTCCCTAATCTTCACCATCTTCAATCGTTAGTGTCGTCTCCAAGTGTGAAACTTGAAAGTTTGAACTTTGAAGTTTCTGAAATCTGAAATCTTGTTGGTTAGCGGACGTTATTCTGGTAAGTAGAACTCTTCATTCTATTGTTGCTTTGTTAAATTAGAACCGAGACTACAAGTTACAACCTTCTGTTTAAACTTTAATGGATGTTTCACTGAGCACTGCCTACTCTCATTGAACAGGTTAGCCGAAGCTCATTCTGAGCATCTGGATATCGACTTCCTTCCTGTGCTAGTAGACTGCCCCTTGAAGCCATTAGAAGTTCCCTGCCAGCAGCCAATTCCCTGGCGAGTGTGCCCTTAACCAGTGAATAATTCAATCTTCTATGTACAATACTCTGTAATCTGTATCACCCAAGTTCTTCACTTATTTTCTTCCTTATTTGATGTGTTGAATAATATGTTTTCTAGCAAGTCCAATTGGGGATTTTATACAAACCTTCTTTCACATTTCTCTAAATTTGATTTGTGTTCTTCATTTATATACTGAAATACTAACAAGGTAATATAAATAAAATGATTAATAATTGGATGGGTTAGGACTGCCATCCAAAATACCTTCTTCAATGTAAAACATTTCATGAAAATATAGTTGGTATTATGTATACCTATCCTATACCTATTAGTTAAAATACTAAACAACTTAAGTATAACTAATGATTAAATGTGTGTTTCTTGCACTCCGTTATTGCATTTACATGATATAATCTATTATTATATAAAGGAACAAGGTGAGGCTCTTTTTTGGTTCAAAATCCCGCCCACCTTAGGGGCTATTATTGGCATTTTATTTTCAACATCCCGCCTAAACCCAACTGGCTTTTACTCGGGTGATATTAATGGAAGGTATACATAATACATAACCAGCGTAATATAAGACTACCATAATCCAATCTAACGTGCACATATTAATAAGGTAAGGGATTAAAGGAAAATAAATACAGCACTACCACCATGTAATATACAAGACTAACGTGTTGATATTAATAAGGCAAGAGATTAATACGTAGTAGTACATTACTGCAGCATACAGTAAAACTAATATGGTAAGCATATACACTATTACTTCAATTCGGTGATTATGACATACGGTAATTGAGAAACAGGGCAAGAGTACCCGCATGTTATTCATGGTAAGAATAACAACGCATCAATAGTATAATCCATGCATGGTAATTAAAATTAATAGCCACCTATATATAGAGTAATAATGCTTTATTATTGGAAAGAGTATACATGGCAACGTATACATGGCAGATTTCTTTATCAATTATCAATTATAGCTAAATAAACAATTTAGGTATGTCCATACACATTAGCAGTGCAGTGGCGCCAATTCATCTACAATTCATACTGGCAGATTTCAAGACCAATTATAGGTAGATGTGGAATTTAGGATGTCTATATAAACCCATGCCTAACATTGAACATTCACTCATACCAAATACCTCATGGCTCCTAAAATGGCAGTATTGAGTGAACTCAAGCCTGGCTCCGTTGATTGGAAGATCCAAGTACGCATCCTCCGTATGTGGAGAGTCATTGAAAAAAGCACAAATCAGCCCGGATCTATTGAAATGGTCATAATAGATGAGCAGGTAGAAATATAAACTCATGTACTTAAGCACAGCTTCTTTCACAAATATTATGATTTTGATAATGACATGTATGATTTTTTACGTTTACAATATAGGGTATGAAGATACATGTAACTATTAAACAAAATCTTGCTCCAAAGTTTGAAAAGTTGCTTCAAGAAGACTTTGCTTACACTTTTGAGAATTTATGTGTTGGTATAAACGACACCAAATATAGAAGGACTACCACACATAAATACAAGTTGAACTTTATGTTCAGCACAAAGTGCACAAATGCACCTTCAACAACAATACCAGAGCATGGTTTTGACTTCATGCGGTTCGCAGACATTTCAAATGGAAAAGATGACGGTATTTACATCGGTAAGTTCAAATAAAGTAGATCATATGTTACAAATTTCAGTTTCTTTATTTCACTGACATGTCACATATTTAATTCTGTTTATTTGTGTTTAGACATCATTGGTCACGTGGTTGGGAAGAATCCAATAAAGGAAACACTGGATAAAGACGGAATTATGAAAAAGTTGATTGATTTCGAGCTTCAAGATCTTGAGTACGTATTTTACACTTGCATGAATATCGATATATAATCAAACAAATTATGCCAGTATGATTTTTCGTCGTTCATCCCTCTCTAGGAATAATCGTATCCCATGCACCGTATGGGAAGATCTAGCTATACGGATGTATCATTGTTTATACATTGAAGAACCATCAGGACCAGTTGTCATAATTTTGCAAGGCTGCCAGATGAAGACATGGGGTGGTGTAGAAGTTGATTGAATAATATTTATAGAACTCATAGAAGTTGATTGAACCCCAGCTGTCAAGAGTGGTGTAGAAGTTGATTCGGGGGATGTGGTAAAAAGCCATAGTGTGGGTATCTTATTGGTAGAATTCTTATTATCTAGAGAGTTTATTAGTATAACGGATGATTTAAACTTATCTTATAATCCAAGAGTGAATAAGAAGAAAGGTCAGTATTATCTTCATAAATCCTTATTTGTTGTATGTCATTTTGATATTGATCTTTTACCAGTTAGATACAATCTTCCAATGATATGTAAGCGGGATGTAGCACCTGAACTAAAATTGCAGGGAGAGAGCCCTAAATCACTATCCGATCTTATAGGTGGATATTGAACCGGATCATTAGGATCATTTTATTTATATAATCCTCGAAATTGAAACAATTTGAATATTATGTTAGGCCTGTGATGTCATGAACAAATTACAGAGTGAGGCATTTTAGATCAATCAAGATGTATTAAACTATATCAAACAAAATTATGATGAATTAGTGAAATCCGGGCTGCTTATGCCTCAGTTTCTTGCTAAAATCAATATTGCCGAGGCTATCACCCTATTGAGGAAGACTTTCTTTGAACATCAGATAATGATTAAGGATTATAAATACCAAGATATTTGAAAAGAGTTCTTATCGCGTGTTCAACGTTCTCGTTATGAATGTTTTATACTATATTTAGCATCTGCCTACGAGGGGTATGAATTTGATTTACCTGCATTTGTTGACTTCCGAGGTAGGATTTATCGTGCTGGGGTATTACATTTCCATGAACGTGATTTAGCAAGAAGTTGAATAGTATTTGCCAAAAGTACTATTCGAAAGTATGACAATGGTATGCATAATGTTAGTAATATCATACAAGCGGCTGCGGGTTTTCATTTGAATAAGTTTTATACTTACGATGATGCGGTATCTTGAACAGGAACTTCATAGAAGATCTAATGAGAGTCTCATTCAGTTCGTTGTGGGAGCCCTATCAGTTCTGAAGTCAAGTGATATGTCTGGAGAAAAGTATTCATATAAGTCCTTCGCAAATACCTATCACACAAGATGCATCAGCAAGTGCATATCAAATAATTAGTTACTTCTTGTTATATCCTGTGAATACAAATCTTATTCCTAAAGAGGATTCTAAAGATGATAAAAATAAGATTCAAGATGTTTATATCTACTTATTAGATCATCTGAAAGATCACTTGAGGGAGTGAAGAGTTTCACGCAATTTCGACTCGAAAATGAGTCAAATCCCTCTTCATGCCGTTGGTCTATGGTAAGACAGCATACAGCATGTCGGATGATCTCTTTCAAAATTGAGGGAATATCTATGAGATAAATGATTGTATTAAACTAGCTTTGAAGATCGAACGTTTCTTTAAAGATAAGTATTCTCAGATTATCAATCTCATGAATTGAATCCGCTCTGTAGGTTGGATAGCATCCACTTTGGGGAGACCCGTCTACTATTCTACGCCTGTATTAACAACAATACAGGACTATATGAAATCGAAAGCTGTCAATATATGGGTATATGATCGTTTCAACAAGAAACGGCGCCAAGTCACACTACGAATTCCCACTCATGAACGTGATCGAAAAAAGACTACAGCTACCAAATTGAATTCATCAGAAAGATGCCATTTTATATGATAAATAATGCTATAAATGAAGGTATACCTATATATACAGTACACGATAATTTCATAACAACTGCTCATTTTGCTATGAAAGTAGCAGGTTATTATATAGATCTACAGAAGCATCGAATGCAAGCTGTGAGGAAGAATAATTATCTTAGCAGATGGGCGAATATATTCACAGTTTTATTTTGCCAGCATCATATTTATGATATAAATAAGGCTGATGATCATTTCATCGAGTACTTTAAATATAAACCTATTCCTGATTCAGTTTTGACTGATCTGTTTCATCATGTTTTGCCACATCGTAGAAATGATGCGCTTTTTAGGAATAAGGTCTTAGAATTATCCAATTCTTATCAATTCTATATTTCGGGTATGTGCGGTAGCTGTGAACTCTATGATAATAGCTCTATTGAGAAATATGGTAATGATTCTAAAGAAGAATTATGTAAGTTCAAAAACTCCATGTGAAAATGGAATGAATGTCACTCTAATTATAGTTTACACTTATGAGAAGATATATCACGGTAATGGTAAGGTCTAAGAAACAGATGAAAAGATCTTATACAACTTTGGCTTTGAAATCTATTATTCAGAATGTCAATCTAATGAGCCGCGTTATTTGTCTGAAGACCAGATAGCTAGCCTGATTGGGGGAAGCATGAACAGTGAGGCAGTGGTGGAACATCAAGAAGCGAGGAAGATCGATCATCGTAAACGTCAGTATCATAAGCATATCACAGCACTCAACCCTACTAGTAAGGAAAGGATGCCTTTCATTGTAGCCGATACAGAGACAGTTCTGATCAACGATATTCATGTGCCTTATGCAGTGGGGTTTTGAGTGGTAGAACCAGGTGATACTCTGTCTTCAGAGAGGTCTAATAGTATTGAAACGTATTTAAGTGCGGTTCATATATTTGAAACAATCCATAAAAGGAGCAATAAGATGTTGTACGACTTTATAGAACGTATAGCGGTCGTTGTTAGAAAAAAACCATCAATTCAAACAGTCTACTTCCACTCCTCCCGCACCATGTGCAGTTGTGTTCACAGGTTCAGACTTGCCAGTACAGTCTTTTATTGTATTCCAAAGGCCCCTTAAACACTTTTTCATATTCTTGCTCTTTCCTTTTACTTGTCTTCTCGGCTTGAATCATAAATGAGTTGTATCCTCTCTTGGACTAAAGGAGGACTTTATTACCGGTAGTTGGTTGTTGACCAACAAACAAGCATGGGAAAGTGATAGGATCCAAGCCATCCGTACTTTACTTCCTGACTTGCCAACTTCTACTACACCAGACGGTGACCGGCTCAATAGAGCACCTTTGGGCGCTGGCTGTTCGAAAGAAAGGCAAGGAAGAAGGAAAAGAACAACAACTTGGATTCTAAACTGAAGAAGTCCCTCCTTTCCTTATCAGTCGAGTGGCTTTCGCTCCTTTCATTAGTATTTCCAAACCCTTTCAATTTCTTATTTGACTATGTTCAATATTTGATTGGGATGAAATAGAGACTTTGGACTTTTTGAAATCCGGGGAAAGGGCTTTTTCAGCTTGCTGACTAGGGTTGGCAGCTCAATTCAGTCTTCGAGACCCATAAAGTCGTGGAGTGCAAGGTTCCTAATGTTCTAACTCAGAAAGTATAGTCGTTCTCTCTTCCTGACCCTTCGGCCAAGCCGCTTTTTCTGTTCATTGGATTGATAGCTTTTCCCTCTCCTTTCAGTCGAGTCTATTCTCACCTCTCCCCAACCGCTGTCATGTCCCGCTACGCTAGTTCTACTGTGCTTTCCTTCCTTGGCCTAAGAAAGAAGGCTAGTCACTTCCCTTATTAATAGGGGCATTTCTATCGAGTAGTCACTCATTCTGTACTGACTCGGAAATCAACCCGATGGTCAATCTTTCCCTGGCTTGAGAGGTTTCATTTCAGGTGAAGCAGGGGATCAAGACTCTAATGCTTTCATTCCTTCAGCTTCATATAGGTGAATCATTGGTTCTTTTCCTCTCTTTCCAGACGTCTAATCCCTTTCTTCTGATCCGATCCCGTGCCTCAGCTTAGCTTCAATCTATTCATTTCCCTCAACCATTCTCTTGTTCTATCTTTAGCAAAATCCGCCCTAAGGCCTCGCTTTAGGCTGTTGTTAAGAGATGGGGGATCGCCCAAAGGTATAGCGATCAAAGAATAAAAAAGGCTTTCATTTAGGAGTGAACCCGATCGAGATCAGATGATGCAAGGATCGGCTTTGATCAACTTTCTGGCAATTCGCCTCTTTCGGGATCTTCTATGACTCTATTAGCTTATTTCTTCCAACGGAGGTAACTTCGCTCGCCTAAGAAGGAGCTGTGGCACTTTTTGGATCAATTGCTGAGGGGACTTTATTTGAAACTACAAATGAACTACATATATGTGATAAATTATTTAAACCAAGTCATATTATGCAATTTGTAGGAATAATCGGCTTAACAAACGCTTTTCGTGGTACAAGGTTGTACATCAATCCTAAGTTGTCTGTTGTTACGGACTACATGGCCAGGTATGTCATAATGCGGCTATAAACTCATTTTAAAAATGCCTACTCAATATACATAAATATCTAGGCTAGCAGAATCTTCTTAATAATAATTAAGAATATTTTGCAAAAAAGGGGAAATTGTTTAGCAATTTTTTTGCCTTATTTTTCTTTCCTACCGTCAGATCAATGATTCAACTACATTAATAATTTTTCATACAAAATTAAATTTCCTTTTCATAATTTCAATTAAAACTTATTTCAAAGTTATTCATATATAATAATCATTCCTTATTTATTAGTTTATTGTTGATTTCTTTTAATATTCACTCATACAAGGCTTAAGGATGCGGATTGTTCCATATCTGAAATGGGGAGCAGTTCTGGTCAGCTTACAGTTTCTTTCACTGATGATTTGACAAAAACACAAATGGTTACTATAGCGGATTTAATGGAAATTTCTCAGGTTGTTTTTAGTTTTTTTTGCTTATGTCAGTATCAATGTGAGCATAAATTATATGGACTAACTTAAAAAACTGTGTCGTTGCAACAATAGAAGTGTTTTTGTTTTCTGCTTGCACAAGTCATTGAAGTTGATACTATGGGGGGTTGGTTTTACAATGCGTGCTTCAAATGCCGGAAGAAGGTCATTCCCGCTGGTGCAAAATATTATTGTGAGGGTGTTAATTGCAAGAAGCACGTTCTTGCTGTTCCCAGGTACATATCTATTTTAAAATAAAAAGTGTTGTCCTTCTCATATTAGATTAACATATACATATACATAGTTTAAAATCGACATCTTCTACTTATAGATCTATTGTTTTTTGTTTTGTTTCAAATCAATTCCTTAAACATATATGCAGATTTAAGGTGAACCTTAATGTTATTGACCACACTGGA